TTTCTCTCCTTCTCCTTCTCCTTCTCCACCTCCTCCTTCTCCTCCTCCTCCTCTCCTCCTCCTGCCTCCTCCTCCTCCTCCTCCTCCTCCTCCTCCTCCTCCTCTTCCTCCTCCTCCTCCTTCCTCCTCTCCTCCTCCTCCTCCTTTTCTCTTCTTCCTCCCTCCTGCCTCCTCTCCTAACTCTCCTCCTCCTCCTCCTCCTCCCTCCTCCTCCTCCTCTTCTTCTTCTCTTCCTCTCTTCCTAATCTTCCTAAAATCAAGTGATTTTTTTATGCATTATGATTGGATATATTATAAAGACATTGTCATATGCAAATGATGTGGATAAATGCTGTAGAGAATAAATGACGAAATTGGAACAAATTGCAGTGTTAAATGGTCTCTTTCTCTTCTCTTTCAATTATCATTTATATTATGTACACCATATGTTTATAGAGAGCTCATGTTTATTTTCACTTTTTCATTCCCAGGCTGTGAACCCCTTAAATAATTTAATTAATGACCCTAATTCCTACTCGATACTGGGGCGGATCCTTCGAATAACCGACGACGTAATCACATATCGACACTGGATCCGTAAGACTTTCCCTGTCACCCACCCTTCCCCTTCTTCAAGCAGTCATCATCTTACCCCCTCTCACCCTGCAACTCCGCCAACTCCACCTGTTGCATTCCACACCCACAGCCATCTACAGGTAAGCTCATGGAGATGAGGGATTATGTGGTTTACTAGGGTCGGCTTTGCGAAGTGTCGTGTGATTAGACCAGCAATGAGGAGCTTAGGGAAAACTGCTACTTTTTATATATCCCTTTCCTTTATTGGGGTCAGATTCAGAAAGTGCTTTTTTGGTTAGAACAGTGATAGGGAACTAGGGGAAAGCTACTTTGTATGTTTCCAAGTTCTGAATATAGTTTTTGGTTGATCTGTGGTAACTAGAATTCGTGAAATAGAAGTGAAGTAATCCATCACTATCTATGAAAAGTTATTAAGCTCTTGATTTATTTAATTACAGGTGACATCAGGTAACCAGTACAACAGCAACAAGAATACCAATAATAACAATAACAACAATAACAATAATAATAATAATAACAATACACGAAGCAAGTCTAGTGTTGCCGATGATGATGCCTTATCATCTGAAGCTTCGGAACCTCATTCCACACCCCCCTCTTCAGGCTCCTCAGTTAGTGATGATACGGTAGGTTATTTACAATGATGTCCTGTGCTGTGTAAATAGTTTCAGCCAGTGCCAATTTGGATAGTGTGTTACATCATTCTTGGTCCTTAGGTGATTGTGGGAGATGGATATGAATGAACAGGGTTTGAAATAAAAATCTTGCAATATTAGTGAACCCTTTTTTTCCTTCCGTCCAGGATTCTGATCAGCCAGTTGAGATGAGTGAGGGAAGTAGAGACAGCTCACCCAACATCCATCACCACCACCATACTCACCACCACAGTGCCACAGCCACCACAACCCCCATCACCACCACAAACACCATTTCCAGTAGTAGCAGCAGTAAACATACCTTACCTACCCCAATTCCCTCACACCGTCTCTTGAGCTCCGTTGCACCTCTGACGACGACGACAAGCGCCACGGAAAACCATGGCTCTGAATCGGTAGAGGTTGTGGCGGAAATCCAGCCGTCACAAAGACAGACCCGCCACCAGTCCCCTGCCAACCATTCCTGGCATCAGCAGCTGGCAGGAAACGCAGGAGGCAGCTCCACGGCACAGCCCGCGACCAATGCTGGTAATCATAGCAACAGTCCGGTCAAACCATGGCATAAACATAGAAGATATTCTCAGTCTTCACAAGGTCTGTATCCCCTCCCATTGCCCCGCCTTGGCTTTCGGTGATGCGTCAAGAGTGGGCCTCCTCTCTCTGTCTGATACTGCAGTTATAGTTAGTTTAGAGGGAAATGTTTTGATATATTTTGAAGAGATTTAAGAAATAATGTTGATTAAAATAAGAAAAAAAAGAGTAAACTTTGGTCATTTTTTGGTATGTCACTTTTGATTGCTTGCTTTCTGACGTTCTATCTCTTTCTCTTTCTCTCTCTCTGTAGATGTTTGCCTTGAGATATCACCTGCTGATATCTCAAAGTCAGCATCAGAGATTGTGATGTAATGTACAGCTTCGGTAATGTACAGCATTCATTTAGAATTATCAGTTACTTGTGTAAAGAAATTTGAACCAGGACACTAATCTGTTGTATGTATATTTATATTTTTTTTATCCAGTTTCTTTTTATCTGCTATTAGAAGACTACATAGAAAACAGATTAGCATTTTACAGAGATGAGGTAGATGTTAGGATGAATTGAGGCGTTTTTTTTCGTAGGAAATAATTTTTTATCTTATCAGAATATATTCAAAGTAAGGTATAGGATTCTCTCTCTCTCTCTCTCTTCTCTCCTCTCTCTCTCTCTCTCCTCTCTCTCTCTCTCTCTCCCTCTCTCTCTCTCTCTCTCTCTCTCTTCTCTCTCTTCTCTCTCTCTCTCTCTCTCTCTCCCTCTCTCTCTCCCTCTCTCCCTCTCTCTCCCTCCCCCTCTCTCCCCCTCTCTCCCCCCCTCCTCTCTCCCCCTCCCCCTCCCTCCCTCCCTCCCACTTCCCTCCTCTCCCCCTCCCCTCCCCTCTCCTCCCTCCCCTCCCCCCCCCCCTCCTCCCTCCCTCCCCTCCCTCCCTCCCTCCCTCCCTCCCCGTCCCCTCCCTTTCCTCCCTCCCTCCCTCTCCCCCCCCCCCCTCCCTCTCCCTTTTCTCCCTTTTCTCCTCCCTCCCCTTTTTCCTCCCCTTTCTTCTCTCCCTCCCCTTTCTCCCTTTCCTCCCCTTGCTCCCTCCCTCCCCTTTCTTTCCCCTTTCATCCTTCACCCCATCCTCCACCCCTCTCCCTCTCTCTCCCTCTCCCTTTCCCTTCGATCTCCCCTCTCCCTCTCCCTCTCCCACTCCCTTCCCCTTCTCCCTCTCCCTCCCTCTTCCCTCACCCTCCTCCCTACCTTTTCCCTTTCCCTTTCCCTTTTTCCCTTTCCCTTTCCCTTTCCCTTTCCCTTTCCCTTTCCCTTCCCTTTCCCTTTCCCTTTTCCCTTTCCCTTTCCCTTTCCCTTTCCCCTTTCCCTTTCCCTTTCCCTTCCCTTCCCTCTCCCTCTCCTTCACCCTCTCTCTCTCCCTCTCCCCTCTCCCTCTCCCTCTCCCTCTCCCTCCCCTCTCCCTCTCCCTCTCCCTCTCCCTCTCCCTCTCCCTCTCCCTCTCCCTCTCCCTCTCCCTCTCCCTCTCCCTCTCTCTCTCTCCTCTCCCTCTCTCTCTCTCTCTCTCTCTCTCTCTCTCTCTCTCTCTCTCTCTCTCTCTCTCTCTCTCCCTCTCTCTCTCTCTCTCTCTCTCTCTCTCTCTCTCTCTCTCTCCTTCTCTCTCTCTCTCTCTCTCTCTCTCTCTCTCTCTCTCTCTCTCTCTCTCTCTCTCTCTCTCTCTCTCTCTCTCTCTATCTCCCTCTCTCTCTCTCCCTCTCTCTCTATCTCTCTCTCTCTCTCTCTATCTCCCTCTCTCTCTCTATCTCTCTCTCTCTCCCTCTCTCTCTCTCTCTCTCTCTCTCTCTCTCTCTCTCTCTCTCTCTCTCTCTCTCTCTCTCTCTCTCTCTCTCTCTCTCTCTCTCTCTCTCTCTCTCTCTCTCTCTCTCTCTCTCTCTCTCTCTCTCTCTCTCTCTCTCTCTCTCTCTCTCTCTCTCTCTCTCTCTCTCTCTCTCTCTCTCTCTCTCTCTCTATATATATATATATATATATATATATATATATATATATATATATATATATATTCTCTTTCTCTCTCTCTCTCTCTCTCTCTCTCTCTCTCTCTCTCTCTCTCTCTCTCTCTCTCTCTCTCTCTCTCTCTCTCTCTCTCTCTCTCTCTCTCTCTCTCTCTCTGTATATATATATATATATATATATTTATATATATTTATATTTTTATATAATTTCCCTTTTCTCCCTCTCCACCCTCTCCCTCACAAACTCACCCTCTCTCAAAAACAATCACAAGGAGATGAATGTTGGAACATGTTTTGTATGTCTCCTTGGCATTTCAGGCTCGTCCACTGGCGTAGGAGATGGCCGCACTGGCAAGAGTAACAGCGGGAGCAAATACATGGGAGATGCTGTTGGCAGTGGGAATGGAGGTGTACACCACGGCAGCAACAGCCACCATGGTAATGCAAGCAGTAGTGGCAATCTAGGAGGTAGCAACCAGCCCAGATACCACCGACCGACCTACAATAAGCGCAAGAAGTCTGCTCGCCGGGACTCAGATGGCAGAGCAGAATTGAGGGAATCTCATCGGTGATTGCCGGAGGAGAATCTGACTGATGGCATAGTTGATTAGGCCCCCTTGGGACTGCTTGACAGGCATGGGGTGCTAGTCCTCTTGTCGGTGATTTAAACGGTGGATTGTCAGGTGACTGTGATGTCAGCCATTGCCCCTCCTAGCGAGGCGCAGGCTGAGCCCTTCTTGTGTGTTTGTGTGAATATTCAAAACTGTCTGCGGCTCATGATTCTTGTGGCTAGTGGAGGGCGAGGTGTTGTGCCAAACCCATGTGAAGGCAACCTTGCATGTGGCATGCTCATTCAACATAAAAGTGTTCCACATTGGAAAACATGCAGGGACTTTTTTTCTTCCTTTTTCTGTCTCCAAAGAGTAGGAATTAGGTGGCAGTGACACTGATAGAGCAGAAGGTGGCATCTTATAATTGGAAAATTAAATGTATAGAAAAAATGAATAAAAAGTATGAATATGTATAAGTAAGGAAAAATGTGATGTGTATGCATTTTTGTGTTCCTTCATGTCTTGAAAAAAAAGATATATACCAAAAAAAGAAAACAAAAAGCTTTCTTAAGGGTCAATATCAAAAGGAAATTAGTGATGAAAAAACTATCAAGAAGTGTGCAAGTCAATGTTGACACCATCATGTTAACTGTGATGCAAATGCTGTATTGACATGTTTACAATGAAGCATCTGGATGGGCTTTTGCTACAGAAACAGAATCGGTATGAGGAGGAAATTGTGTGCCGGCACGCTCTCTGACAATGATGGAAGGGTAAGTGTCATGACTCCTTCATCTTCCACAAACCACAAGAATTTTAGTAGACCAATATCTTTAGAGCTCATTTTTAAAGAGTTTTATTTATATTCTTTAAGCTCAACTTGGCTGTTTTGATGACTAATCCCAAAGTCAATGAAGTCATTTCATATTAAAAAAAGAAAAGTTTTATATGAGTTTATCTTGAGATTGTACATTCAATCTCTTTGAGTCAAATTACTCTCTTTGAGTCAGATTAACAGTATGGGAAGTTTGTATGCCTAATGACTGCTGTTGTGGCCTGCCGTGCTTGGGAGACTTTTTGTTTTCACAACAAATTCAAACCAACGTTGAGGTCATTTCCCCCCCAGCGGAATTGGGCAAAAATGGGGTTCATAAAACCCCTGTTGGAAGGTATGTTCCTGGTTAAAGCTGGTGTTTAGAATGTTATATAAAAGGCAAAAAAAAAAAGAAAAAAAAAGATGCAGAGGTGTCACCATAATAAAGGATTGTTTAGTGATAATTGGAATATTTTGGAGAAAAGTCACAGCAAGTCTGGCAAGTTTTGGAGGGTATGCTGGAACATGTCTGTGAAAGGTCTAGTGATACCTGAAATGTATTTCCTAGCTTCCTGTGGCTATTAATAATGTGTAGAATTTTTTTGTTGTTGATAATGTTTAACAATGGAAGTGTGGGAGGATGCAGTGGGTGTATAGCCACTATACATGCTGCATCCCTAGTTCAAAATTTTTACCTATTGTAATTAATGGCAGATCATCACCATGGCTATTGTTTTTGAAATTTGTAATTAGTTGCTTTGTAATCTTAAACCATGAAACATTTGCCCACAGTGTTAACATGCTAGAATGATTGTACAGTCAATTGTAGTTTTGCAATAAACAAGCAGTGTTGTCTTCACTGGTCTGGATCTGTCACAGGCCGAACACTTAAGGTCTTCAACTAAACATTTTTGTAGATTGTGATGTGGTGTGCCAAGAAAGTACTGTTGCATAAGACTACAGAAGAGTTATCCAGTCAACTAAGTCATGCATATAGTGATATAGACAAGTCCATATCATTTGTGTTTTAATTCACTAATAGAATATTTTCCTATGTATTTGACAATGTAGTTATAATAGAGTTATTTATTGTACGGATTATAATGCATTTCAGATTTACATAGGTTGTACATTACTATGTACATGCATAAATTGGGTGCTGTTTTACATGTAGAAAAGCCGAGAGTTGCTGTACAGTGTTCAGAATATGGTGTCCAAATTGAAATGTGGAAACCTCCCAATACAATCAAATACTAATTAAAGAGACTTAAAATTAAGAATGTATATTGGATATTTTACTTGATAGGGAGTTATGACAATACATGTAGAGGGTGATGAATGGTGACACAACAACACACACATACATTCATAGACAGTAGCACCCATTAACACGCACACCTATGCACATGTATACCAATTTCCATATCTTACATGAGAATCAAATGCAGGAAAAGGCATAAGCTCAGAGACACCTATGCATATATGTATTACATGTTTACATGAATGTGTTAGCATGTTCTCTTAACACAATTGGATTAAGTTGTCACTAGTTCTTTTACATACCTTCTCTCCTTGGTCTCATTCACACACATTTTCCTGTGTTTTGCCCTCTCTGCCACCTCTCCCTCACCCTCTCCATCTCTTTCTCCCTTTCTCTCACCCACTCTTTCCCTCTCCCTCTCTCCCCTGTGCCCTCCTCCTCACCCCTGCTTCCTCCCTCCCATTTATCCAGTTATTTATCTTGTGTTGCTGAAGCATGTACTTGCACCAGTTTTCCAAGCAAGGCTTGAATATGAGAAAAGGATATTACCATCACAGCTCTAAGTGCACTCGGCCTGTAACGTGGTTTCTTGTTTTGATGTTGCTAGAGGATGAGACCTGTGTGAGAAACTTTTACCTTTGTACTGTAATTCCCATTTTCCTTGTCGTGGGAACTCATAGGCCGTAAACTTTTGTAGTATTCTGTTCAGCACTACAAGATTAATAAAGATAATTAAAAAAAGATTAGTGAGTAGATCAGACTATACCTCAATGAAAACCTTCTACTTTACTTTTTGAATACTGTATGATGCTGTGTGACAAACAATCATACAACTTAAATTTTGCCTTTTGTAAAACCTTAGTGTTTGCATGTTCTCTTGTGTTTTTTTTTCTCTCTCATACAGTAGCTTGGTAGTTCCATTTAACCTCATCATGAATGTCATCTTGTAAAGTAGGTATATTTGTTTATTTGAAGTACAGGTGATAATTAATGTCAAACAGATAAGAAGCAGATTTCCAGTTTGAAATGCATTTTAACCTTCAGTTTTATAGAATGAAGGAATTGATTCTAATCTTTGCAATCTTGTCACCTGTGTGTGCATGAGTATACACAAAGGTGCACATGTGTAACACATACACTCCCACTTACACAGGTGCGGTTCTAATGTTACTGTCAATGTTACTCTCACCCTTAGTCCCACCCTCACACGAACAAGTTCACTAACACAAATTCATTTACAATAATGACCACACTTTTCTACACACACATAGACACACATTCACTCACTCACTCACTCACTCACTCACTCACTCACTCACTCACTCACTCACTCACTCACTCACTCACTCACTCACTCACTCACTCCCACTCACTCCCACTCACTCTCACTCACTCTCACTCACTCTCTCCCTCTCTCCCTCACTCCCTCTTTCTCTCTTTCTCTTTTTCACTGAGTCTCATGAACACATATACATATGTATACATTTGCATATGTACACATATGCCTATATACTTGCATACATACAGAGGTTTATACATAAACATACACACATACATACATTCACTCATAATCGTGGACACACTGTCATTCTCACATGTAGTTTGCTTGAATGTGTGTGCGTGCATGTTTCTGTGCATATGTGCATGCATAGAGACAGGTATACGCATACTCTTTACACTTGCATTCACACACACTCAAACACAAACACAGATTTACATGTCCACATACATGTACACACACACACACACATGTACACACATGTGCACATACCTGTACACATATGTATACACACATGTACATACACACATGTATGCACACATGTACATACACACTTGTATGCACACACAAACAAATAAATGTACATACACCCACACACACATTTATATACACACACATACATACATGTATACACACATGTACACACACATATGTACACACAAGCACATGTACACACAAACACACATATACACATGCACACACACACATGTACACACACACACACACACACACATGTACACACACACACACACACACACACATGTACACACACACTCACACACACACTCATACACACACACACACATGTACACACACACACACACTTGTACATACACATACACACACACATATGTACACACACACACACATACACACAAATGTACACACACACACAGATGTACACACACACACAATACACACACACACACACACAGATGTACACACACACACAGATATATACACACACACACAGATGTACACACACACACACACACACACACACACACACACACACACACACACACACACACACACACACACACACACACACACACACACACACACACACACACACACACACACTCTCATTCACTCTTACATTTCATTGAATAAAGTTTTGACTGCATGCCATGGATATGTTTGTATGTGTGTGTGTGTCTGTATGCTTGTGAGTGAGTGGAAGGGAGAAAGTGTAATGTATGATAATTTTGCAAGCACAAATTTCTTTGCAACATGACTGATTGGTTTGATTTGACTTTCATACAACCTGAAAATCATTGTACTGTATGGCCGTTGCAGCTGTATTTGTTTTCATAGACAGAATTTTGGTGAAATAAGACCAGATGACTACTAATGCAATAATATTCTTAATCCGTGTTCTGAAGGGAGGAGTCATCCTAGCCCTTATAGCTAAAGAATTGTTTTGTTTTGTATATTTTCTCTCTCTCTATCTCTGTCTCATCTCTATCTCTGTCTCATCTCTATCTCTGTCTCATCTCTATCTCAGTCTCATCTCTGTTTCTATCTCTGTCTCTGTCTCTATCTCTATCTCTATCTCTATCTGTCTCTATCTCTATCTCTATCTGTCTCTATCTCTGTCTCAATCTCTATCTGTCTCTCTCCCTCTCCCTCTCCTCTCCCTCTCCCTCTCCCTCTCCCTCTCCCTCTTCCTCCCTCCCTCCCTCCCTAGCTTCCTCTCCCTCTCTCTCTCTCTCTACCCCCTCTCTCCCCCTCTCCCCCTCTCTCATATTCAATCTTATGTTTTTTCCATATAGATCCTGCAATATGCTCAGAAGTAAGTTTCAATTGAAATGTAATCCTAGCATATCTACACAAAATATGATAAATGATTATTTAGATTTTTCAATTTCAAAACAACCAAGACTAAGACTTGAACAGAAACAGACAGACTAGGTTAAAATAGTTTTGGATGAAGTACTGAAACAGTGAGTGAATGAGTCCAATCTGGTGACAGTGAGTGTGGGTTGGGTGTGGTGAGTGTGCACTGGAATGCCCATGATAAGAGAGGAAGTGTAAGGACTTAACATGTTCCGCCCAAGGGCCTATACTAGTACTGCAAACACTGGAAAATGGGAGGAAAGGAGGCAGCTAGTGATAGGTGTATAGTCTGACGTCAGAGAGCTGTATGCGCATTCAGGAATTTCTTGGGTTTACATCCATGTTCTGTATGTATTTCACCATAGTGTTATGTCTCTGCTCTATGAAATGTATATATGTAAACACATATACTTACACTTAAACAGTTATGTGATCATAGCATAAACAAAAACACTTAATGTATATGTACTAAACCATACATATTGATGGACACATGCTCTCCCTTGTACACACACTCATACAGGCTTGTTTTTCCTGATAGTTGATATAAAGTAGGTATTCTCGGCTTGTAAACTAAAATACGGAAGTGGCTGACCGTTGCGATACCATATGGAAATGACACATGCTCGTCCCTGACGAGTGCACACTTTCAGTATCTAGGCTTTTTTTTTTTTTCTAAGTCGCTGATTATGGGTTTATAATAATTATAGAAGTAGCTTTTGCATTCTGTCTAATTCCTGAAGAAGCTCTTTTTTTCCATTCTCGGTTTTGCTACAATCGATATATGCCTCCCTATTTCCTTCGCCTTGTCCCAGTTTGATTGACTCATTAGACATTTCTTATTCCAGAAAAAGAGACAAAAAAAAATATGTAATATTCTTTCTTCCTCTTGAGATTAAAAAAGTGCCAGCTGATCGCTTGATAACTGTCAAGTAGATTTGCCCAAATTTGTGTCATTTCCTGTAAATTTTTGCTAAGAAAGTCTGATTATATGAATATTGCAATGTTGTTTATAGATGTAGATCTTGGGCAAGTTTTACTCTTTATGCAGCATATGTTGTTAAGAGAAAATACAAAAAAACAGTACAAAACAAAACAGCCTCCCTAAAAAAGGTTATAAATAAATTAGAGAAGAGGAGGACGGCTTTGCTGATGAAGTTTGTGTTGCTGCCGCCCAACAGTCTTGTGTGGATTCGCCCTCATTGGTCCTTCACAAATCCAGAGAGTAAAAACACTGCCCGATGTTGAGCAACGTATGGGGCTATCAGGTGTACTTTTTTGATGAAAGGATCCTGCAAGGCAGCCTCGCACGATACGACAAAGATTGACTGGACTAACCCTCAACTCCATTCCATTTTTTTATTACGTCTTGTTATCAGAGAAACGCCACAAGCTAAATTTCACTGATTGACGTTCTTATTTTAGGTGGAAGTTTTTTTATATCGTTGATGTCTGCCAAGTGTCATTGGTGATTTTACGGGTTTATGAGAGACTTCATTCGCGGGCACGCTTTCTCGTTGGATATACCTGCAATTTCAGTTAATGTCATCTCAACACTAGCAGTTCAATTGTAAATTTGCAATTCTTTCCATGAGTGAGGATATGTGTATGTATGTGTATGTTTAAAGCATTGTTAGAGGTTGATGAAATGTGCACCTGCCCGTTGTTGTTTTTTTTTATTCCCTAGGGTGTGTATGAAATATATTGATAAATGAAGTTCTTCCCATGTTTACTGAACACCATTTTATGAAAGATTAAGCATGGTATGGATTAAACCCACTGCCAACAGCAACAAATGATTAGGGGAATCCACAAAAGCTATTATCGATATTTGTCTGAGTCTGACGACCGAGACCAATATTAATCATATAAAATTTTAGATATAACTTGCTTCTGTGTAATGTTGTAGATTAGAAATAGTCATGCGGGTTTCTTTAAATCATATTAAACTATTCACCAATATATCCCACTTTGCAGTGTAGACATAGCGCTTTTCAAATATAACGTCTGAAGAATAAATAGTGTGAAGGATTGCACATATAGGGGTGAAATGCCCCCATTGTCAATACAATACACTGAGCCGATATTACTTCTCCGCTTCCCATGGTTGTTATCTGGTTCAATCTGAAGCCTGTATAAACCGGTTGATTTTTACTGTCGCCGTAAAGTCTTAAGTTATAAGACTAAATTAAGGTGCAATATACAGACGATTGAAAATGGACATAATCTTAACAGAAGTAAAGTGATGTTGCATTTAGAACCATCCACATCGTTTACCATGTGCGATTGAATTAAAGCTCGCGATGGCATTCACTCCCATGTCGAAATTTTCAATTGGTAAGGCATGAGTGAGAAACTTAAATTTAACAAATTCTATGTCACAAGTGTATGTAATGTGGCATTGTGTGCGATTTATCAACCTGTTTTTCTTCAAGTTGCAGAGCTTCATAAGTATGTAAAGCAATTTTTTATTATTCATGTGCCTAAAGAACAAGCTACAATTGCGTGAGCGTGAAGGACTCCAGTAAAATAATATAAGGATTAATATCAGTTGTTGATATTAGCCAATACAATAGTCTTCCCTTTGCCTTTATACTTCATTTCTTTCAAGGCGACTGATACATCATGTTTAAAT